ACTTTGAAACTTTTATTGAAAACTTAGGTTAAAAAAAAAAAAAGACTTGAAAGTGATTCATAAAGAAGCACATGTCAAATTGTTATCCAGAAAGCATTTCTATGACCTAGAAGAAACACTCATAAGGTTTATGTCAAAAACATACAGAAGTGCTTTTAGTATTTTTAACTCTTTCAAGAATTGGTTAGGATCTTGAAATACCTATTTTTTGACATACATTTTTATAGGGCCCACTATATAATTTTTTTGAACGGTCCAAACTTTTTATCTTTTAAGTCTTCCATAAAAAATCATATCTACCAAAAATCTAAATCATATGACCGTTAGATTAAATGGTAGTCATTTTAGTGTTTCTTTGTGAAACTGTATTCATCTATTTTCTTCACTCTAAATGAATGTCTCAATAGTTTTGGTTTTGTCTAAGTTTTTGTAAGTATGATTTATAAATGACGGCTTGAAATATAGACAGTTCATATCGTTGAAAAAAGTTATGAAATGATCCCTAAAAAGTGTGTAAAAAAGAGTGTGTCGTGCGGTCCAAACCCTTCAAAAATAGTCTCAAACACGTGGCTACATGTTATAAGTCCTATCCATGGTGTGAATGGACCATATGCTCGTAACCGTTGTTTTCGTATATCTCTGTATAATTTTACTACATATACACAAGTTTTTGAACTGTTATTAACACTTTAAAATAATCATGGTAAACTCGCACCGAGTGTATAACAAACTGATATTGCAATTCTGAATAATATTTTTGAGACAAACTTCTTTTCATCTTTTGTTTTGATGTGCCAATATATATGCACGTTGAGGTATGATACTTTGACAAGTGTAAAATGGGACTCAATTTAAGGAGAAATTATTCAGTGTGCCAGGAACAACTATAGTACACAAAGTGTCAGGATACAAATGCTTGAAATTTTTTTTTTTCAAATTTTCAATAACTTATATTATAACATTTGGTGTATCAAATCGGAATCTTGGCATTCTCATATTTAAGAGGGTCATAAAGAACTTGTTGGACCATATACAATGGCTAGAGCTGGCAGTCATCAAGTAGAATTTAAGATGGTGTCCCCAATTGTCCTCTTTTCCTTCCCCACCCCAGCCAGTATCATATTTTACTTCACATTTTTCTGCTTCTGTAGTTTTGCACTTCCACGCCACACACAAACAAGTATTTTAATTATTTTTTAATTATAAGGGTTTCTCTATTTTAGCCCCTCCATGGGACCCCTTTTTTGTCTTTTCATGCTTTACATATCATTCAAGATATTAACCCCACGGAGCCGTAGAGCCCATCTCAATAAATTAGTTTAGTCCTGCTTTGTTCTCGAATTACCAAGCTGCCCTCTGAGATTCCTTTGCTTTCAAATTTGTATTTGTTAATTAATTTACAGCAGGAGCAGCCTCCATCACCGTTCACCACCTTCGAGTGTACCTCTTTCGGCAGGGCAACTTTTGGACCTGGTTCAGTAATGGCTTCGGACCCACTGACCCACACCACTGTTTATCTTTGAAAATTTTACTTTCTTATATGCAATACCAAATTTTAAATATAAGCAGTGTTATTTAAATTCTCGTAACGATGTTGTAGTTGTTCATTTTTTTGTCAATTACAGTTTCACGTATATTGTTTAGTGTGATCAAATTATGGGTGTATAAGAAGAAGAAGAAGAAGAAGAAAATTAGGTACAAGAGTACTTTGAGCTACAATAATTAAGCGATTGATCTATGCATTGCTAATTAAGGTGCTAGATCCATATGTAGGAGAGGGACTACAGATTCATGAAGTCGAATGTGACACTTATGAAAGCATTATAAAGACACTTTATCCCCCGTTTTAATAGCAACAAGGACTTGGCTTAACTAGGTACCCTAACTAGCTAGGGCAAGAGATATATGCATGTTGCTAGTGTTATTCCAAGATCAGCTATAAGCTGACCCAATTGTGCAAACTTCCATGCTAGGCTAGTTCGAGCATGGTGTGACTTGAATGAGTTGAGGGGTTCCATGTGGATACCCTAACCAATTAAGTTAACTTCACTGAGGATGGCTAGTTAGTTTGCATCATTACATATGAGTTAATTTATTTATCTTAGCAGCAACAACAACAACAAAGTATTATTCAACTAAGTGGGGTCATCTGTATAAATCTTAGAACACCAATGCACTAGGTTTTGACCCAAGTCTTTCGTTCGCTTCAAGTGCTCCATGTCTTTTCTTAAAGTTGCTTAGCAACTAGAGAGAAATTTCAGTAGGCTTATCTAACCAGGATAACTTTCACACTGAATGAGACTAGCTAGCATGAGGATAAGTGTGATTGAGTTACAAAAGATCTCATGTATGAGAAATTGCTTAGAAATGACGTGATCGGATAACCCACTCAAGTTTTTCTCTTGTAGTAGAGGAAAAAAGTAAGATTGAAAGTTGTGAATTGATTATTTTTTTTTTGTTACTAATATTATGCACCCACCAAGCAATACTAATGGTGACTAGGTCACACTTAAATAAGACGTGGACCACTGGTCTGTGCTTATGCTTACATTAAATCTTTACCTCTTTTAGTGTTGAAACCCAAAGCAGATTTGAGCAGATTCTGAAATTCTAGGAGTAGCATTTTGTGTAGAATAATTACTTGCTAGAGGCGGCCAATGATCTTGTTCTAGGAGTTATATCCAGTTGCCCCTCTCTGGAGAATGGCTTCAATTAATATTTGATGGACTGCATAGCATAAATCAATAGGATTTGTATTGATACATTCAGCTAGCTAGCTAATCAAATTACCCACAAAAAACAAGGCATTATCTTTGTGGAAAGTGGGTTGATCATCCTATCCAAGACCTAACGTTTGAAATCCAGACTGTGTCTTCAATTTATCGAAAAAATATTTCCAATCCTAGGTCTGCATGGAAGAGAAAGTCTGAGGTGTTATTTGTATTAGAAATGGATATGTAAATTAGTTATGCATGTAGAACTTGGAAGTTTGAGAAATGGAGCATCAATTTAAAATAATTTTAGAATTATTGGAACTCATCTTAAAGAAAACAAAATTCTTAATATTTAAGAATAAAATAATCAACTTTAAACAAATCAACCAATGACATTTAATATTTAAAAAAAAATGAAAATACTTGTGTCTGCTTCACGGTTGCGCATGCTTCTACATCCCTTTGTGTACAACAATTTAAATATTTCTCTTTATTTATAAATGAGACTTTTTTAAGTTCGAATATCATAAATCTCTTGCCATGTCATTAAAAATCAGAATTGTTCAGTGGACACTACAACAAAATGTAAATTCTTATTGAAATCATTGATTTATGAGATAGAATTGGTGACCAATCAAGAAAAAAAAGGGTCACCCTAAGTCACTAATGCCTCACATTTTGCAAGGATCGGGGGAAAAATAAGCGTCTTTTGTACACAGTCTTATTCTTACTTTACAAAAATGTTGTTTCCATGACTCGAACCTATAATCAATATCTATTTAAATTAATTTTATAGAATGGATCTTTACATTGGTGACTAATGAAAAATAAATAATCAAATTGAAGATTTAATTATCCATATGTATGAGATAAGTGGACACTACATCAAAATTTAAATTCTTGTCGAAGTCATTGATTTATGAGATCGATTAATTAATTAATTTTTTTATAGAATAATCTTTATATGATCATTAAAAAATATATTTATTTAAGAAAATATTTGCTAAGGAGTTACTCTCACTTTTTTCAAAAGTAAAAGTCAAGAAGAAGAAGAAAATAAGTGAAGAACATTGAGCATCAATATTTTGAAATTTAAGTAACTTAGTATTCGATTTAATGATATTCATTTTCATTTGTAAGTGAGAGATTTTATGTTCGATTCTCGTTTTCTCGTTAAAGGTAAATTTGAACCACATTATTACTTACTCATTGTGAGGCTTAGCGAACTATCGATCCCCTTTAGTGGAGATAATATCATTTGTTAATATATATATATATATATATATATATATATATATATATTGTCACACGATAGATTTTGTTAAATTAAATGTTATATTAGTCATCGACGAGATTTATCCACGCCGTCATGTAAGAACTCAACTCTTGTCCACACCACTATGAAGGGTCCCTTGTAAAAAAAAAATAAATACATATTTTGGAATTTAATAGGTTTGTTGATTAATCGATAACTATTCTCGTCATAAATGGGTCTACTGCAAAATCTGCAGGAAATGGGGAATGCATATTGCAAGACTGTGACATACATGTCAAAGTTATATATAAATTAGTGGACCATAAAATTTCATGGAAAAGAAAGAAGGTGTAAAGAAAAACAAATCATCTTGAAAACGAGGACTGATCCTATATGCAATTATTCTTGATAATATCTGCTAAAGAGATCCTGCCCTTAAAATTTTTAAGTTGAAAGACGATATGATAAAGATAAACCATTAATAAACTTTCCTGATAGAGCAAACAATTCTCTTAGCCATTAATATAAGGCAAATTAAAGAACTTGGCATATTATATACTAGATTTTGAAGTCCGGAGCTAATGTATTGGGAAATCTGGACCATTCAAGATAGAGAGATTTAAACTTTTGGTTTGTGTGAAGTAGGTCAGTGGAATGTACTAATAGATACATGTTTAGTATTTAAGTACAGATGTCAATGACAAATTCATAGTTTTCTGATTTCACATATGGTAATACGCGTAGTGAAAACTTAAGAAGCGAAATGATTCTCGAACTCAAACTTTAGTTAACATGATTTGAATTTATATTTCTTGTAACTAAATAAACATGTCCAACTCGGATTTACTATAAGAGCACATCCGCTCTAATAAATGTTTATGTGAATATTTACAAAGTGATAGAAGGTTAAGAGGGTAGTTTTGTCATGAGAAATGTACCACACTATTACTCTCTGATCAAAATTTATTTCTTTATCCCATTTATGTCGCTGACCTTTCTCATCCCCAATGCATATATACGCCCATTTCTTCCCTTTCTCTATTTAATTTCCTCCATCCATATATAATATATCATCTTCTTTTTCTCTTGCCGAAGGTAAGTCTAGCTGTATAAACAAGAGCAGAACCTACTACTTTGCTTTGCGGGTTCAGAATATTCTGATGGGTCGATCACCGTGCTGTGACAAGGTGGGTTTGAAGAAAGGACCTTGGACTCCAGAAGAAGACCAGAAACTCTTGGCTTACATTGAAGAACACGGCCATGGAAGTTGGCGTGCCCTCCCAACAAAAGCTGGTGAGACTTCCACTTGCATTTCCCCACATATTATACTATAAGAATGTATGTAATTACATAACATGTGTAATTTAAGTACTTAATTATTTGTTAATTTCACGGTTTAATTAACTAAATGTGTGTAGGTCTTCAGAGATGTGGAAAAAGCTGTAGGCTTAGATGGACTAACTATCTTCGACCTGATATTAAGAGGGGAAAGTTCAGTTTGCAAGAAGAACAAACCATAATTCAACTCCATGCCCTATTAGGGAACAGGTAGAGTACAATTGTTTATATTGTCGCTTAATTTGTTGTTTTTTAAATCAACAATTGTCGTCCCTGCAATTTGAACACTGTAACTCCCCTATCAGTGTAGCTAGACCAAATGGTCTTATGCAATTTTGTTGTTATCAACTGTCTTAGTCTTATTAGTTCTGGACCTCTGGTAGACATTGTTACCAAATGTTAATTAGTAGTCTTATTTTTCATGGTTGTTAATCCTTTCTCTCAAATATGTTCTTATTTTTCTTTACCTTGACAATGTAGAAGCTAGAATTTGTTAAGAAGTCTCAAGCTAAATTTTTCGACTTTTTAAATGTGAAAGCCTTGATCTCGCAATTAGTTTTAACCACTCAACTCCGACCTGTCACTTATTCACAATTTTGACTTGTGCGACCATTTTCCATAACATGATAATTCACTGCTGTTCTGAATTCTGAGTCATGAATCTCCTGACTGCGAGTTCATTATTTATGGGTCACAATCTTTCAATGAAAATGATCCTCTTCAAATTTTCTTATTGTGCACACTCCTAATCGTTTCTGGTTTTTTTAAATTCAACTGATCAAAGAAGAATCAACGAATAAGTAAATAGAATGTTAAATTGCCCATTAAATCAATTTTTTATATTATAATGCTTACAACAGATAAATGAAATAAAAATACTTATGAGATCGATGTAGTTTATGTTGTTTTTATAGTATTTTGGTGCTAATATTTGTCTTTGATGATCAGGTGGTCGGCCATAGCAACTCACTTGCCAAAGAGAACAGACAATGAGATAAAAAACTACTGGAATACGCATCTTAAGAAGAGGCTAGCCAAAATGGGCATCGACCCCGTCACGCACAAGCCAAAGAACGACGCCCTACTCTCTAGCGCCGACGGTCACTCCAAGAACGTCTCCAACCTCAGCCACATGGCTCAGTGGGAGAGCGCTCGGCTCGAAGCCGAGGCTCGCCTCGTCAGAGAATCAAAGCTCCGCTCCCACAGCTCCTCATTACTCCATCAGCTCACCACCACAAACCCCAATACCTATGTTCTGGTGAATTCTTCGTCTTCGGGTTCGACTTCAGCTCAACTTCAGATTAAGTGGCCGTCATCAAACCCTTCTAATAATAATATTGATCTCGAGTCTTCGACATCTACGCTCAATTACAATTCCGATCAGACTAACGTTAATAACGCATCGTCCTCCGCAGTGGGGTCCGCGATTATGAAGCCGGCGATGATCGAGTTTGTTGGGTGTTCAGGTTCTTCTGAGACCAAGGAAGAATGTGGGGATAAAGAAGATTGGAAGTCCCATTTGTCTTTCACTTCATTAGGGTTAGTTCATGATCATCAGACCATCACAATGTCCATGGACGCTGGGAGTGCATGGCCTACTGCTACTGATCATCAAGTTGGCTATGTGGCTGCTGACATGGCAGCTGCTGATCAAGAAGGGTTCACTAATCTCTTGCTTAACAACTCTGATGAGGTGCAGAGTTTGTCAGACGGGGATCACGGCGGGGATTCTGATAACGGTGGTGGAAGTGGCAGCGGTAGCGGTAGTGACTACTACGAAGATAATAAGCATTACTGGAATAGTATTCTCAATTTGGTGAACTCTTCCCCCTCAGAATCTCCATTGTTTTGATGATGAACTCTGTAGCCACTGCCATGTCCTCTATGTGATCATTTCGGATTAATTGGAGTTCTGATTGGGAATTAAATCAAAGTGTGCAACAAATTCAGCTCCTCTCATGATCAAATTACCAAAAGCAAATCATTTGCTTAATTTCCGTTCATGAATTCATGCTATTGCCGAAGCAGTTTTTGGTTGCTTATGCAATTTTCATAGGTTAGGTACCAGAAAAATGTAATAAAATATGCTTGACATGCATGCATGCTTGGTGTATTCTCGTGAAAGCAAAATAATTACAGTTTTGGCTGGCTGTAGCTCTCACATCAAATGTTAATACGTCTCCCCCTTTTAACTTGTTAGAGAGTCGTTCATCTAGCTGCAAACTACGTATCAGTCTCGTATAGTTTTCTTCAATATATTCAGCATTGTTCATCTGTACTTTGATTTTTTTGATGGTTATGAGTGAATGTATCCGTTAACCCGGAATTTCTTTGGATTGTTTTCCCTTCGAGCGATATTATTGTCTAATATAAACTAGAAAATAGAAGATTCACTTGGACGTGAAGGCAAATAGCCGAAAAAATTACACTCTGCTCTAGTAAACTTGATTATGCCAAAGTCTTGTTTATTTGAAAATTTTCAGATAAATTTCATGTGTATCAGTCAAATTTCTTTAGAGTGTGATATATTTGCCACCTAACGCAAGGATAACATTTCTATGGGCTTATGGTTAGCGCGCTCTCTCAAATACTAGAGTATAATGATTTTAAGTTTCTAAATCGTTTTGCTCCTTTACGTTGTATTGCCTTATATGTTTGACTGCTCATATATTGTTTAACTATTTAGCCTGGTGTAGAATTTAGGAAGATAGTATGTTTTTTTACCACTCTAATCTGAAAGCTCTATTTTGTCTCACTTATTAGGTACTCTTATATCTTAGTTTTTTAAGTGCTTATTCTACAGAAAACTCAACCTAACTCTCATAAAGATACATGTGAGAATAATCCCATATTGTCACTTGGTGATCATAGATTAAAAATATATAAGTATATGCATAATATAGTTAATAGATTACTTTATCTCCGATATAGTACAGATATAAATCGTCCATTCGTAAGCGCTTTAGAGTTCTCAATCTCTCCAGTTCTTGTACGACCTTCATACCTCTCTCTACCCATATATCTCGCTCTAGATCATAAAGCGAGGTTAGAGCAACTTAAATCACACTTTAATTATAATTGTCATATTCTCTCTCGGCACATTCTATCATAACTTAAGCTATTATTCACATGAGAGATGCATGAGGGGAAGTGAAATGATACTGAAAAAAGGGTGGATTTTTGGCGTTAAAACAGAAATTCGAATCACGTACGTCATTGATAAACACTTGTTAATATTTGCTCTCCTTGAAGCCTATGCGAGTCCTCCATTCTTCTATTTGTCTCACTTCTCATTTCTAACCAGTGGTGGTGTTGCGAGATGATGATGAGGTGTCTCTAATAGAGCAAAGTAAGTTGTTAGAATCGCTCCATATCCTTTACAGCTGTTAATGCACTCTAAATCACATTATCGAGGTATACATCAGGGCGACATGTATAGATGTGTTAGGTATTGGGCACAAATACTATAATTCAAATTATCTCCTATAATTTCAAATGGACAGATTTTATTCCCTCTTTTAACTTTTTGAGATTCAAATTGACAAGTATACATTATGCGTTTATGAGCAGTCCCTAGTGTAAGGATGCTATATGGTCTCATGAGTTAGTTATTACTGTTGAGCGGATTTTAAATTTACTACGTAGTCCACATAACTCAACTTTACACATAGTGCTATATTTAGAGATAAAGAAGTGATGTTTAAGAGAAGTTTGAACTATACTTTCTGTTATATTCGAATGCTCAAATACTACATAAATCCTTATTTCAGTTTCCATATATATTATTTTAATTAAAGTTCAAAGAATATTTTCAGAATAAAATAAGAAGAATTATTTTTGTTTCTTAAGTTGAATATATTTTAGTTATGTTTGTGTTTAAGAAGGGGTATTGTGGTTTTGTGTCTACGGCATGACTAGTTGTAAGTTTTTTTTTTGTTTTATTATATCGACTTAATTCTCTAATACAGGGACGGGCCCTCACCAGAGTAATGTGATCTATTAGCGCGCTCCCGGGCCACCTTCATGTTTCACACAATCATTTGCCACCTTCAGAATGAATCTGATATGATATGCGAGCCGTCATTAGTCTATTTTATTTTTTGAAAGATATAGTGCATCATTTCACTCTCTAATCTCACAATAGATATCATACTCTCTCCTATGTTCCTAATTTGCTTGTGTTTATTTCTTGTTCGTTCCGCGGTGGCTTATTTCTATCTCTTCATAATGAACTCGATAATCCGACATTGTTTGGCGTGAGTTTTCTAGACTTCAGGTAGCCAATTAACTTACAAATGAGTCTCCTCACAGCGACAATTTCCTTTTCAGTAGTTTCAGTATGCTCGAAGGCCTTGCCACCGTGATCAGAATAAATTAGTAGTGACTGGGCTGTTGGGGAGCTACTAAAATGATTTGTAGGGCCACTCATATGCTGGTTAAGATTTAGTATTATGCGCGCTCTATTCTCTCCAATACTCATGACATAAGATGATCACGTGTAGTATGATTATATAATTTGATGTATCTTTAAGGTGAATATTCAATATAATATTCCGAAGGCGCAGTATATTATAGATCCATATCCTTACATAAAAAATAATTATCTCTCTGATTATTGAAAATGTATAAGGCATTTGGAAGTATGTCTAATCTGGATGCTGTGATGGGATGGATCCCTCTAATATAATGAACCTTAATAATGATTCTACATATTGGCTACTCTTCGCGAAAGATAGATTTGTGGACAGAAACCTTATAGCATGACTCGACTCGGCTATAAGCTCTGTGTGACAAATAGTCATTACTATATTAGCAATTTATGTATTGAACTTGAAAATATTATGAATATCTCAGATTTTGATTAAGCGATTTGTGACTCTAATCTTATCGAGTGTAGTGGAATAACATACACTCTTATGAACTTAATCCTCTCTAATGTACAGATAGATAGATAAAATTTGGATATAAAATAATAGTTGTTATACATTATTGTTGTGCCATGAATTTGATTATGCATTGGCATTGAAATTTACAACTTGCACCACACATTTGAAGTCAAAATAATACAGATTAAAATAAACTTATACATATATTGCGTAATATATTTTTTGAAGACATTTATATAGATTTAATAAGATTTATATGGAGAATCGTCGAGATATTATTCAGATATATACATAATCGCTGATAAGGCTTGATGTGTATAAATTTTTAAATACAGACATTTTAACTGAAATGTAGTGTACCTGTATATGAGCATTCTAGGAGAACTAGAATGATAATATTGAAATCGGAGATTACTCGAGTACTGCATATTTTGGGTTGGGTTATATTTGGTCTGCAAGCTTAAAAAGTAACCGAGTGGAGACATAATAATTTGGGATCGTGTTGTCTAAATTACAACTCGAGAGAAATCGGTATTCTTAATATTACATATTAACACACTTCAATCGTGTCTATGTTATAATTACAGAGATTTTATGCATCGTGGTCACACAAATGAAGGTATCTAATTGCTAGTCATAACATATGTATAGTGTAACAAACTCTCGCGACGTTACGCAAGTATCTTTTATCGGGATTAAATATCTATTAACGCAGCCGAATTATTTTCAAGTATACAAGAGTATGGAGTATACCTCAGACCTATGTGAATTTAACATTGGACTTATTATGCAAAATCCTGTTCCTTACACCACAATATTATAACTGTCCCACAAAATATATATCTATTTCTCTGTGTTTGTCGTGGAATTTATCAGTCGCCACGCCCCCCCTCCCCTCCCCACTACTAAAAATAAAAACACGCTCAGTTTTCTGCGAACGACCTGCCTGTAAATGGTGTGCGTAATGTACAATAGCTAACGTCATTTGTGGAGTTGTGACGCTGATCATCGTAACTCTTGTATACATTTCAACAGCTCTCTAAAATCTAACCGCAGGTTGTTAATCGTACATCATCTAAATATGGTAGATGCTAAATTGTAGATCAGTGGTGTTTATATCTATACTTTGTGTGGTGTTTGTAGGTGAGAAAACGTATAGAGAAATGAAAAATGGAAGTGATGAGTGACGTTTACATATTATGATGTAGGTTAAGTGATGTATTCACCGGATGAGTAATAAGGACCAGAAACGAGTTTCTGTTGTTGTCCGAATGGACCAACGTATTAGGATTGGGTGAGCAATGTTATATTAGCCACAGTTAATGTCCTACGAGCGAGATATCCTTCCTATCGCTGTAAATGTATAGTATTCAGCATCTGATCTCTTGATTTATTCTTTCCTGCAATTTAGTGGTATCATTGTATCATTATGTAATTTCTAGTGCTATATACTACATTCAATAAATCAAAGCTGTTACGTTCCCGTCCTAATACCCTAAATGCGCCTTCGACTGGCTGATACTAAACTTAGTGGATTTCCAACTGTGAGAAGCTCCTTATCGCATTTTTTTCAGCATGTGGTTTGCATCAACTTGTATAAAGTGGAAAATGAAATTATTTAGTTTCACTTAGTTAGCAACACTTCACCACTGCAGCTCTATCACTTTGTACTGCTCTTTCTGCTTCCAAACTTCACACCAGTTCAATGTAATAAATGAAAAGGATCTTTACAATGAATGCCTTAATTCATCTGTTTAAGATCAAATTCAAGTTAACTGAAATCGACTTCTATTTTCCACCCGTGCTTATATCGTTGAGGTATGTGGATATCATAATGCATCAGCTACACACGAGTATGTAGGACGTATGCTATAGCTTTCATATTGTCGATGCATGTGACGTATCAACATCTCATGGTCATAGGCGTCATGCTACTATAATGCTAGCATAATTGATAATTCTCTTTGAAACCTAGCTCTACAATTAAATGTGTGTCGCAATGCTCTCTAGCAATACATATAGGGTTTCTATTGGGGTCTAGTATTGAAATGAATTGCATAATTCACTAGATTTATTATATGTTAATTTCCAAATTTTGTCCAAATTGAAATCGATATCTGATTTTGAGCGGGGGATAGTTGTGAACACATTCTAGATCGAGGCATGTGTGTATTAGATTACATTAATGGTGCACAATTAGTTTAGTGTGTTTACGAACGACATTGCAAGCTTTTGTACTATTGATGCATGTGAGATTCTAACGGTCCACTGTCACACACTCATATATAGATGACTAATGCTAGCATATACAATTATGTGTGAGACTTATCTTTACACTAAAATGTGTGTCATAATGCCCTAAACCCTACACC